ATCGAGCCGAGCGGGAGCGGGGACCGGCCACTCGATCCGGCCCCGCGCCCCTCCAGGGTTAGCGACGCGTTTGGGAGCCACCGGCCACTCTCTCGCCCTGTCCTCTCCTCTCCCTTGGACTAGGGAACCCCTAAATGGTGAAAAGTAACTTTCCAGCCCGCGCGTCCAGATTGCCACACCCGGAGAAGGGTTCAGAGGCTAGGCCTGGGGACCCTAGGAGACTTTGTGGTTTTTTTTTTTTTTTTCCCGGGGGTGGTGTTTTTTGGTTTTGAGACAAAAACTTGCTAAGTCGCGGCGACCCTCCTGCTTCGGAGGGCTGGGATTCCGGGCGTGATGGGAACGCCTACCACTTGCCCTTTTCCAGGCTCCTTACACTTTCTTTCTTTTCCATTTTTTTTTTGTTTGTTTGTTTTTGTTTTTGTTTTGGTACCAGGGATTGAACTCAGGTCTTTGCGCTTGCAAGGCGGGCCACCAAACCGCTGAGCTAAATCCCCGGCCCTCTTTTCCTTTTTTTGTACCGGGGATCGAACTCAGGCCCTTGAGCTTGCGGGGCACTTAGCGGAACCACTGAGCCAAGTCCCCGGCCCCTTCTTACTCTTTTGTAAGAGTTAAAACCCTGAGAGGGAAACCAGCCTGTATCAGTCAGTCCGTTTCCACTGCGGCCTGGTTCCTATCGCAGAGGCTCTCGGCAGGGCCCTAGGTCGGGGGAAGAGTCTCGCTGGCGGAGTGGCAGGTGGGAGCGAGCCAGGTGCGCCGGGCTGACGCTTAACACGACGCCCTCTGCTCTCCGGAGAAATAGCCGGGAATTTCCTCACTTGGCTCTCAAAAGTCCTACCCCTATCCTCGCTGCTCTGAGACCCAGCTCCCGATGCTGGACACCGTCAGGGACACACGCACACCTCTGCAAACCGCAGCACAACCTCACAGGCCCCGTGAAGTGTCCAGGGTCTTCACTTAACATATTAGTATTAAATCCAGGAAACGGAGAACATTTTGTAACCTCCCAGTACTCACCGAATTTACGTATTTTACTTATTTTTTAGCTGCCCAGTTTTATTCAACTACCCCACAAATAAACACAAATGTCCGTCTCCACACTGCAAACTTTGGAGAGCTGAGAGGTGTATATAGTATTTGTTATCCTTTGAGGATTCAACTCTTTAGCCTGAAAATGTTGTCTTTTCATGTTCAAAAAAAATATCTCTTTAGGGCTTTCCCCTCTAATTTTGCTAGACCGGGCTCTATCAGAATGAGGAACCCTTCGTGTGAAAACTAAAAGTGTGAAAACTGTATTTTGTTATACTATACAAGTTTTTGAGAGTTGCATAAACTAGAGAAATAGATTTGCCAAATGGCACTGAAGAAAATCCCAAGCCATATGATGCTATTTAGTGCACATTTTTCTGATCAAAGAAAATTATAGAACAATATTTATAGGCTGACTTTTAAGAGACGATTGCGTTAATACCGTATGTTCTGTTCATGTCAAGTACTATACACTCCCAGAGTTTATATATTCATGCATTATTGCTGTAAAAATATCATGGAGGAGATAAATCACCCCAAGTGTTTGTGACAGCATTTTGGTTCCAGCTAATGTCGCATAACCAATTACTCTACTGCGCTAAGTTAAAGAAATGTCATCTATTACCAAAAAACATCTTAGCGCATTGGTGATTGAAAGTGTCAATTTGTGGGATTTAAAACTGTTTCCTTTTCAAAAACTCACTCAGAATAGATAGCCACTGTGCAAAGAAAAGTATAAAAATTCTGGGTGTTCCAGTACAGGACATAATTTCTAGCGAAGGAATATTTATTTCCCTTTTGAATACTCCCTACTCACCCAGAGTAGCTGTGTGCCATCTCTCTCTCCCTTTCCTCCACCTTCCAATAAATCATCTTTTATTTAAAAAATTTTTTTTCTAGTGAAGTGTTACTGGCTGAAAGTTTTTCTGCTTTGTCCATTCCTGTGTCAGCACTGATTTGTGAACTGATGTTTATGTTTCTTCTAGTGTTTGTGGAATATGCTTTCATTTTCAGAATGACACTGAATTCCCTCAAGTGGAAGCACTCTATTTTCTGCAGCCCTTCTATTTCTAAAGTTTAGCTGTTTATAGAGTAATGGTCTTAACTATGCTTGTTCTACTTTATACTTAGCCGTTGCAGTATTTACAAGAGGGTAATGTTTCCGTAAAAAGTGCTCTTTCACTTTAAGTCCACCTCATAATCAAGGGTGTTTCCTTCTCTCCTCCTCCTTCCTTCCTTCTTTCCTTTCTCCTCCTCCTCCTTTTCTTTAGGCACATCCCAAGACTGTTCTTATTTTTTATTTTGAGTCAGGGTCTTCTTAAATTGTTAAATTGCCCAGGCTGGGCTGGAACTTGTGAACCTTCCACCTCAGCTTGCCAGAGTGCTGGGATTATAGGCCTGCACCACATGTGCCTTGCCTGCCCCCTTTTCTGATTTTATTGGTTAAGTGACTGGGTTTCAGACCAGGCACTCCCCGCCACACCCCAGGGGTCAAACTCAGGACCTTGCCCTTGCAAGGAGGTGGCAGAACCCCTGAGCTAAATCCCCAGCCCTGGGCACTTATTTTTAAGTAAGTAGAAAAACAAGTATAAGTAGTTCTTAGTTCAGGTTTTACCAGTCCGTCTTAGTTACTTTTCTCACATTGCTGAGACAAAATACTAGACACCCAAAGTTAAAGGGGAAAGGGTTTCTTTAGTTCACAGTTTTGGAGGCTTCAGTCCATAGTTGGGTGGCTCTGAGGCGGAGTGGGGCATGGCAGAGAGGCCTCCTAGAGGAGAAACAGTTCACGGCATCCCTCAGGATAGCAAAAGTAACAAGGGATTTAAAAGTGTCTTTCTGCCCCTTTTATTCAGACTTAAGGGAGGGTAGCACTCACCCTTAAGCCTATTGCCCTTGGGGCCTAGCCTAGCATGTGAATCAGTTCTAGTCGTACACTGTGGATGTCAGCCCTGAAAAAGCCCTACCTAAAACCGCTGAGGCTTTGGGGATCTTCTAAATGAGAGCCATAACACAGTGCCCTGGTCTGGGGATTTAGCTCAGTGGTGCTGCAGCCTGCCTCACAAGTGCAAGGTCCAGAGTTCGATCCCTGGTACCAAAAATAGCAACAACAAAAAACCCCATAACAGTGCCCTAAGAGTTGGCCGTATAACTAACAAATAGCACCCACTGACAGCCTAGGAAAGATGAGAGGGTCACGGGTGCCCCTAACAATTTAAGCTGTATAGTGGCCTTTTGACTCAAACGTGATAGGAGCCTCTCAGACTGGCATGCAAGGTGTGGTCCTGATCCTGTGGTTATCAGTAAACGCAAGTCTAACTGAAGAGGTGTTGCTGAATTATTTTAAAGAGCTAAAAATTTGTTTTAAGAGCAAATTATATTGTGGCAAATACAATTGTAAGATGTTCTGTGTAGAGAGAGATTGTAGAAAAGAGAATTGTCAATGGGGTGTGATAAATAAATTCCGTAATCTCAGTTTTCATGATAAAAACACACATTTTTGCTAAACATTGTTTCCCTAAGAAAGTCACCACCTCTTCAGCCTTGGCTTATATTCACACCACATATACACAGACGTGCCTGGGTCCCTACATCCTTGCCTCACTGGGTATGGCAACATTTTGCTCATCTAAGAGATCAAAAATGACACACAAGCCTTGAGTTTGGATTGCTCAGTGCTACCACAGGTTCTGAGGGCTCCCAGAGATTTCTGAGACCTGGTGTAGATGACCAGGGTTCCCCACGCAGTTATCTTATCGGGTGGGTGGTGACGCAGTATCAGTTGTGAAAATTCAAAGAAGTTGACAGATTCCCAAATAGCAATAGAAGGTCTGTTAAAATATAGTAACAGGACCAAGCCAGGTATGGAGGTGCACGCCTGTAATCCCAGCACTTGGGAGGCTGAGGCAGGAGGTTGTCCATGCGTTTGAGGCCAGCCTGGGCTACACAGCAGGAAACCCTGTCTTAACAGTGCCCCCCCACCAAGTTATAGGACCATATGGTAATAGCCTTGTCACTGGGATGGGTCTGAGAGATTCCTGAAAGCAGGTCACTAACAGTCAAGAAAAGTGTTTATTAGAGATTTAGGAGGCGCTTAAGTTCTGTGTGGGTGCTGAGAGAAATTAGGTGCGTTTACATTTTGCAACTGGGAACTTTTCTTGAAGGAGTAGGAAATCTAAGAAAAAGAACACCTCTCCCCATCGTGCATGCCTGAAAAGATTCTTAGCCCATTCCACAGGCGGGGGCAGGCTTACTTGGGGGGGGGTGATAAACATTCATTGGATTTTTTTCAGCCTGCTCCTTAGCTTTTGTTTTTTGTTTTTGTTTCTTGTTTTTTATTTTTTTTGCTACTGGGGATCAAACTCTGGACCTTGCGCTTGCAAGGCAGGCAGCAGCACCACTGAGCTAAATCCCTGGCCCCATTCTTACTTTCTTAACTGAGTCACTTTTTAGCTTTGGTTGACTTTGGCTGAAGCCTGAAAATTGCATGCTTTTTTATTATTTATTTATTTATTTATTTTGGTACCGGGGATTGAACTCAGATCCTTGCGTTTGTGAGGCACGTGGCGGAACCACTGAGCTAAGCCCTGGAATGCTTTTTTAAATGGTACATGATTAGTTATGATTTTTTTGTCTCTTTGTTTAACTATCTTTCATTTCTTTTATTTTAACTCAGCTTTACTCTGCAATTTATAAATTAAAATTGTGATCCCACAGAATTTAAGTATCAGTTTATATTAGGTGGGAACCA